AGAAATGAAGCAATTAGACCATTACATAACATATTTTTTACTTTACACGAGAGTCGAATCATTCAAGATAACATTTCGAGCTATGTTCATCAACGGACTGATCCCGGCCGGAGAGAATTTCCGGGCGAACAAAAACGGGTCCTTCCTCGTTCCACCGCCGTTCCCGTACCTAGGCCGAGCACTTCTGAGCTTTTGTATAAGCCCAACACCAACCTCCAATGGTTTATATGTCCAAGGATGACAATCGTTCACGCTCCTCCAATCAACGTGAGTGAGCGTTGCATATACGCACCCTTGTGGGTCTCGCATGTGGAGGAGAGTAGGGAAGTAATGCTCCTCGGGGTAACACGTGTCTTTTCTTACGCAAGGTTTGTTGAACTTGGACCATATCTTCACGTCACTTACTACCATACGCGCATGGGCTCGTGTAAATGTCCAGAACTGTGAGCCTATTCGAAAATCCTCGGGTCGTACCTCGGGGAGCATCGTGTAGCGTCCACGCGCCGCCCATCTGTCGTACCACCCTGGCTCGTCTTTGAGAATTTCTACGAAGCTCTTCGTGGAAGAGACGAGTGACTTGTAGGTGAAGTTAAAGGAGTGAAGCGGAATGCAAGAAGGGGAGAGAAGTATAAACATGTAATTTGATGGGTCGTCGAGAAGTGCGTGAGCGAGTAAACGACGCGCGGCTGAGATGAGTGTTGGGGTGTGTCGGTAAGCCGGTTTTGAGGACGGTATGATCCGGTTATGAAACATGCCGAAGAGACCCGGTTCGTGTTTTTGAGTTGGGTCTACATGGATGTACACATTGTAGAGAAGCTTGTGATCAGAAGTTTGGTTGAAGAAAAGCTCCCAAATCGGTGCAAGTGGAAGAGATGTTGTTGTCAAGAACATGAAAGCGAGTTTTTTAGGTGATTTAGGTGGTGGGTTTGGGCCGACTTTAGAAGCTTGGCGAAGAAGCAACTCATCGTGATCTAGTGGTGGAGGAGAAGTAATTACTTGGCGAGGTGTAAGGGTCTTATTGGAATTTTGTATTACTAAGAAGGCCGGTTGAGTAACGGCAACGGTGATGGCTAGTCGTGGAGCCGTAAAAGTCATGACGATGGCTAAGGGAACGCATACGAGTAGAATGAAATATAAAGCCAACATTTTTTTTAACCATCAAACAATGTGCATAAGTTTAGCTATGAAACAGTGAGTTAAAACATTTTCGTTTGTTTATAATATATATAGCTACATTTTGTTGACAACACTTTTATTTTTCTGATAAAAGATTTAGAGGAAACGTAGATGGTATGTGCTTCACATTGTTTTTATGGTGAGAAGCTTTATTTGCTTTGCAGTCTTTTATGGGCCATTTGGATACCAAAACGTGATCCTTGGCTCTTGTTACATAACTCTTTTACGATGCTTTAATCACATTTTGTTGCTTATCTTCTTCAAAATTTTGTATATTAATTTTTGCTGCGAAATGTAATCACTCAATGCTACACAACGTGTTTAAGTAACCATCAAAGATATCTGAACTACATGTCTTAAAAAGAGTATTTGCACTCGATAACAAAGAATAAGTTGGTGTTTAGAAAAGTAACCACTGTACTGGTACACGCACTGTGCAACTTCTCATAAACCAAAAACACCCCTCTTGATATTTTGAATTTAAACTCAGAGGCAATAGGTTGTGTCAGAGAACCAATACGTAAGAGTGTAATATATGTATAGGACAGGCTTCTCTCTCTCTCTCTCAAACGCATCTTCATTCTTTTCTCAAACCCAGATCGAAACTCTCTTCTACCCATATCGAAACTCTTCTTTTTCTCCCTCAAATCCATTTTTCTTCTTCTCTCAAACCCAAATCAAAACTGTTTCTTTCTCTTTGCAAGATCTGCTCCGTAAATAGATGTAATTACAACCATGACGAACCGACAAAAACCGACGAAGATGAGATCTACAAGAACAACAAATCAGATCTTGTGAATTCGGCCAAGGATAAAGGTTTTAAAATCTGGCTATTTGTCGAAGCCCAATTTCCGTTGTGTTGCAGGTAAATTTCAAACAGTAAATCCAATTGTTGTATATGTCTCGTTTTGCTCACGACCGTGTATTGACCTATTTAATTTCATAGGGGGGAGACCCAAGAATTGTTGTACCAAATGAACCAGTTGGAGAGGGAGAGTGACATCATACAATAAAACATGGAGGATCTCTAAAATCAATTGTAAACGCGTTGGAGGACGATGCGCTCAAGATCTTGACGAAGTCTCCTTTTGGCAAACTTATTACCCTTCACCAGAAAAACTGTCTTTCTCTGGTAGGTTTCTTAGATTCATCATTTTGAGGCAACTTAAAGTTGCTAAGAAACACGAAATCTGGGTGCTCTGTGTCGAAAAACTTATTTGCAGAAGCTCTTGTTATGTAGGAAAAATAAGTCGAGGTTTTAGATGGTTATATTTAAAGTTGTTGGGTGTCTAACTCTACCATTTACGGGGCAATATACAGGAAAACTGGATTTCTTTTGGTTTGGTCGCTACTTTTATTTTTAACCGGGTAAGTATAATCTGCACTGTCAGGTTTTATCCTCCATAGACATTTAGCAATGTTAGAGATTTTATAGTGAAGTATAATTTGCACTGTCAGGTTTTATCCTCTAATAATGCAATACCATTCGAGGGCAGATGTTGAAGCTTGCCAGTGCCTCACACGTGAAGTGCTAGCTGGGGAAGCGTAGAAGCTTGTTATAGTTTTGTCGGGGAAACACTTGCCGTTGAGTGACCATGTCAACACATATATATTTAACCAGACTGTTCATTTTGCTGTTATTCTGTTTACTATTAAAGAGAAGGAGGCTAGCCCATTGCTTTTAATACCAACCTGCTTTGAATATATTCCTATTTACGTTAGTAGTTAAAGTACAGTTAGCAAAAGAACAATTCAGAAAAGTCTTTTTGTTACTTGCTAAATGTTTTAATAACTGAGACAAGTTTAATAGTACCAAGTTTCAATCATAATTAACCAACTAACTTATATCCATTCTCGTTTTCTTTTTATGCAAGTAATATTCTTAGTTAATTACAGTTAACCAGTTAACAAGTCTACATTCCAATTTACACTATTAGTTACACAGTTTTTACAAAAGAACAAATCCAGATAAGTTTAGTGGATCTTGATAACCGTCGGCACAACTCAGATAAGTAAAAAATTACCAAGATCCATTCCTAATTATCCAGCTAACTTAGTATTCTTACTTAGTTTCTATTAGAGTTGACCGGTTAACACCTAAACTTAGCCAAAGGATAATATTCGTTTAGCCGCATAAAATATTATTCCGTCGGTAACTTTTATGAATACCGGTTACAACAAAATTTAGACAAGTTACATATTTATTTAACCGGTTAATATCATACCCAATCTCACACGCCTCATACAGTTCGCATAAGTAGCTAACAAAATATTTTTCTGAAATTTTTCATTTCAACGTGACCCTATTTAACATTATAGACACCTCAAGTTGCTTCTCCCGCCCATCACAAAACACACGCGGGATTATGCTAGGACATTTTCGTCTTTTTGCCATGTGAGTCAACTAATTTTACTTCCCGTTTCGTCAACTTTCCTAATTTTGCTTCCATTTTTGGTTTTCTGGCTAATTCTAATGGGCTTCACTAAACTTAAGACTAATGGGCCCGAGCATTATTGTGAGGTTTAAAACCTTTTTAAGCCCAACACAAACATAAAAGCAGACAATTTTATCGGTGGCCTCATTTTTTCAGAATTCAGTTCGTCACCGGAAACCAGCTTCTCCGGCAAATCCTCCGTTGGTACTGGAGAAATTGCACAGAAACAATGTAGTATAGGTGATTCTTTTGATTTTCCACTGGATTTGTACTGTTTCGAGTAAATGTTTTTGCTTTTTGTTTCAGTTTCAGTTGAAATTGTGACCCTCTCCTATAGATTTTGACATATCTCTTTCTTCAATCCCATTTAGTGGTTTGCATTTCAAAACATATAGACTTGCTTTTTCAGAAGTGATAATCATGTATTCACTGTTTTGCTCATAAGTTGCAGGGATTGTTCTTATACTTGTATTCATTCATACAAGCGGTGTTTGTAAACATCGCTATGGCCTTTGCTTTTGCCTCACACCAACACTTTTCGTTATGCTTTCAAGTATTTGTTTCTTTTTTCTACCTCTGCCTTCCACTTGAATTTCTAATATTATGCTTCTATTATGTGATGTGAGCTATGCGTCATGGCTTCTTTTAAGAGTTAGATTTTGAGAGTGAATGTTCTTCTGTAATGGCTTTTTAAGTATAGAACATATTCTTGGAGGAAATGTATCATAAGCAGGATGTTATGCCATTTTTGGATTCTATATGTGAAGATTGTTTCAATCTCAAAACTCATTAGCTAATTTTACATCTCTTGATTTCTTGGTTTAGGTGACTAATTTGTATATATAAGTGCTGGTTACACGTGTTCTCACCATATGATATGGGTGTTGAAATTAGATAGTAAATCAGTAATGCAATTTTTTGTGGTATTTACTAAATTTCTGTGGAGGAAATTTGCATTTTTTTTTTTTTTGGTGAGATTTGAAGATCGTTTCAAAGCCGAATGATAGGGATGAATAGATCACACTTGTAGTTGTATGTGGTTTCTAAATTTATTCACGTGGAGTTAATGCTCTCATTTCTACTAAACTTATGGAGAATGATTTTCGTATTATTTCAAACAGAAAATTTGCAACTTTAAGTGTTCCAAAAAGTTAGGGAAACATGTGGAGGTTAAGAAATAAGAAGAGAGGGACAAGCAAGAAAACATGGAATACCGTACTTTCACTGAGTCTCTTTACCATTTATTCTATTTGACTTTGACAAGTTCTTGACCTATATACTGCTACTCTACACTATATATGAATAAATTTCTATAATTGATTTTATCATTACCCTAGTATGTATATACAATAGAATCTCTATAAGCCTTTTTTTATTATCTTTCTCTAAAACTAACTTCTTCCACACGTTATGACACACTAATTCCTCTTGCTAAACTTAGTAAATGACTATCTTGTTAAATCCCCTGTATTATAAGGTGGAAATCTCTTCTTCATCCATCGTCTCCATTGTCTAAAACTTCAAACTTATCTATCCTTTTCTTTTCCTTCTCACTTTTTGCATAAACGGTTTCGTATATATACAAAAAAAAAAATCTCAAATCTGTGGGAATCGTTTCCTCTCCTTCTCTTTTATCTCTTGACTTACTACTTACAGGAATCACAGATCGTACGATAGATACAATGCAGAAAGTTTGCTGGCCTTACTTTGATCCTGATTTTGACAATCTTGGCGAACGCATATATGGTCCACCGTAAGCTCTTTTCTCGCTTCCTCTGTTTTAAATCCTTTGAACAAGAATGCATATATGAGTGCATATGTTTCATTTACAGATGCAGAGTCTACATTGACAATGACAGCATCCAAGATTGCACCGTTGTGAAGGTATGCACACAAGATTGCATGAGCATTTAATCATTGTTGGAAAGAATTTTTTGATCCAATGGTGTTCTTGGACGCAACCACGTGTTGCAAACCGATCCTTCTTGCGTTTCCGTTGTGCATATGGTGTCCTCTAATGTGAAACGGTTAATTATGAAGGTTAATAGTGAGAACAAACAAGGACTTCTTCTCGAAGTGGTGCAAATCTTAACAGACATGAATCTTATCATCACCAAGGGTTACATCTCTTCCGATGGTGGATGGTTCATGGATGGTACGTATCTAGTCTTATACTATATCTATCAGTATAATTCAGATTAGTTTAAGAGCTTCACTTTGGAAACTTACTTGTATGCAGTTTTCCATGTTAAAGACGAGCATGGCAACAAACTCACTGATAAAAGTGTCATTAACCACATCAAACATGTTTGTCCTCAACTTGGATCCTTGAATAAACCATATATACATGTTTGATTTGAGTGAACTCACGACTCGAAAGATGAAATTCATAATGTAGGCCATTGGTACGAGTAGGCGAGAATCCGATTCTGTAAAGGCCAGCGAAGCAAATAACTGTCCAAAGAACAATTCCTTGGAACCTCCATTGATTGATCATGGGGAGCACACAGCGATAGAGATGACCGGGACAGACCGACCTGGCCTCTTCTCAGAGATATTCGCTGCTTTTGCCGACTTACATTGCAACGTTTTAGAAGCTCATGCTTGGAGCCACAACGCTCGCTTGGCTTGCATTGCCTATGTCTCTGATGACTACACTCACGCTCCCATCGATGACCCGAGCCGCTTGGCTTCCATTGAGGACCACCTCAGTACAGTGATCCGTGCCACGGCGGATCCCTCCTCAAACTCTACACACGTGGGTCACAAGGAGAATGAGACGGATGGGTTTCTTGCTGGACAAGGCAAGGGGTGTATGAATACCAACGTGGAGAGACGGTTGCATCAGCTAATGCTATCTGTCAGAGACTTTGACGAGCCATTTTGCGGGCCTTCACCATTGTCATTATTGTCGTCCAAGTTGGATTACTGTGATCAGAAGGAAAGGAAGACCACGATAGTTACAATTGGGAATTGCGAAGAGAGAGGATACTCTATTGTGACAGTGACGTCTAAGGATCGAAAAAGGCTCATGTTTGATACAATCTGCACGTTGGTCGATATGCAGTACGTTATCTTCCACGCGGCTCTTCGGTCTGATGGAGCTGATGCTTTTCAGGTAGGCCAAGGATATAGCATCCTTGAAATTATTAGATTTTTTTAGGGTTAGATGTTTATGTCTTGGTTTGAAACTTGTAGGAATACTTCATAAGACACATAGATGGGCGGGCATTGAACACGGAAGGTGAGAAAGAACGGGTTATTAAATGCTTGGAAGCTGCAATAGAACGTCGGGTTTGCGAGGTAAAAACACCTGTGTAACATTTCTATGTCTATTAACCAGAAGAGATCAATCCACAGTGACTAACTTGGGATATCTCAGACTGAAGAAATTAGAGGAAGATTCACCAAATTGTTGGATTCTAGTAAACAATTTGGGTGTGTGGCTAATGCAGGGGGTGAAGTTGGAGTTATGCGCAGAGAACAGAGTAGGCTTACTCTCAGACATAACTCGTGTGCTCCGTGAAAACGGCTTGACCGTTGTCCGCGCAGACGTGGAGACGCAAGGCCAGAAATCGCTCAACGCTTTTTACGTCAGAGATATTTCCGGCAACAAAATCGATATGGAGTTTGTGGAATCAGTGAAGAAAGAAATGAGACCGATTCACCTCGAGGTCAAGAATGAAGAAACAGCAGAGACAGTTGGACCGCATGAACCGCCGGCCACGGATGCTCCGCAACCGCAATCCCACCGTTTCTCGCTTGGTGAGATCCTACGGTCACAGATCGAGCGCCTTTCTCACAACTTCGTCCCAACCAAATGATTGTAGGTGGTAGTAATTCGGTATAAAGGTTTTAGATCTTTGGATTTCCTTTGCTCTATATTGATTAGAAATTTGCAATTGATTCATCTTTCATCTAGTAATAACACCAAATATATGTTCTCCATTGAGTCTATAGTCTTTTTAAGGTACTATATACTTGTTCTGAGTTAGAAATATCTGACAGAATGTTTTTTACATGACCTACGAGTTCTCCTTACGGGAGCTTCAAGTTAAGCCTACGCAGCCAAATGGAGTGAAGTGTCAAGTGATACGCATCAAATCTCTTAGGTGGATCGTTGAGCTCGAAATGTCTCCTCACGTACCGCAAGTTACTTTTAAGCCATTCGTATTTCTCATCAGAGATCGAGGTAAGGATCTCCTTCAATCTCGGAATATCTGAAACGTTGACCTGTACAGAAAAAGTCTCCCAACGCAGAACGTCACTGAAGGGCAAGACAAAGTTGACAGAGAGAATGACGGGGATGCACTCGGAGTAGATGGCTTCGATGACTCTAGGGCTAGCTACCTCGTAGCCACTGGGACAGAAACAGAACTTTGAGCTTCTCATGAAATCGTAGTAGTTTAAGTGTTTAGGAAGGTATTCGTATACAGGCATGTCCGGGTCACGTTGTTTCCAGTGGTTTAAAAGGATCGGTCTGACCGGGCCATGGACACCACCCGCAAAGAAGGCAAGGTAGGGCCGCGGGGAAGCCATTAGGGTTTTAGAGAGCCTGAGTTGGGGATCCACTTCACCGCCGTAGAGTTTAATCTCAGGGAGAGTCACGTCTTTTTTAGTGTTGAACCCTTCTGATGAATTAGCATTGCACAACACTCGAATCGAGTTGTTGAAGAGATCTTTATTGGCTTGTGAAGTGAGAGGTCCCTGCATTACGAAAAAGGAAACCCATTTATACCAAATTTCTGGATTAAGCAGAGAACAAATAAAAAGATGGTGAAATGTTAAATTTACCCAATCATGACAAGCAAGCATGAAATGATCAGCTCCACTGCTTTGATTCCAGAAAGGATGATTAGTTGATATCAATCTGATGTAATCAGAAGCAAAAGTTCTCAAAGGCTTTGCGTCGAAATTGCCTTGGTACAAGTATCTGACTAGCCAAGCAACACTAAAGGGCAAGAAGTAGACATGAGCTTGGTCTGGATCGTATGTACGGAACTGGTTGGTCTTTCTTTTCTCCATCTCCATAATGAATCTGCCTTCAACCGCGTATACGCTCTTGCACGGTCCATCGTGAACTAACGGTGGCTCGCCTTCTTCGTATACATACACCTTGAACCTCTTCTCCATTTCCAAGTAACTCCTGCAATTCAACAACAAAACAAAAAAATTAAACATTTTCAAAGATCAGATCACAGTAAAACCGTACATGCATTCACTGTGAAATGATCTCTGTTTCATCTAGTGCTGCAGCTATCTGACACTTTTGGTAGGCACATTTTAAGTAAAAAAAAAGTAATTGTTGACTAAAAGTGATTATGGACCATACAATTAACAACCGAATTTATGACAAATTTTAAAAGAGTTAACCTATAGACGCTATAACTGAGCCGTAATGTGATTAAAAAGCCAATGTGTAATTACAAATTTTCAGAGTAACAAGTGACGTTAAGTCGAGTGAAAATGACATATAACAGACCTTAAAATCGTAGCAGACTTTAGCTTAATTGCACCGCCTAGTTTGTACAGTGATTAATTACTATAGCATAATCCTACACTCTCAATAAATCGATTGCTTGAGAAGGAGTTTCTCTCAAAAATCATGATCTTGAATTTTAGTGTATAAGAAATAAAGCAGTGTTGCTCATGATGAATAATAAGTAAGTTGGTACATACTTTTTCAGAGACTATGATACAAAACCAGTGGTGTATGTATGACATTTGGAATTTTTCTTTAAAAAAAACGCAATTAAATTTGAGTTAAAACTGTCTCAAAATCATCGAATTGTAAGCTTCAATTATAAGATTTCTTAAAATAAGTAAAAAAATTTACGCAAAACCCAGAGAATTAGCCGTGTGCAATGGACTGTAAAGCAAAGCAAAGCAGTTTCAGAGAAAAGTTAAACTCAAACTTTTGGAATCTGGAGATTTATTTTTTTGTTTAGTCTCAGAATCTAATTATAAAATCACTTACCTATGTAATGCTGAAGGATTACGGTAGATTTCTGGGTTTGGAAGATCGTTGATGAACACTGTAGTGTTACGATTAGTAGCTGCTTTGTGAATCGAAGCTCTTGCTTTAACCAATCCTTGTTCCACCATTTTTCTCCTGCTTAGCTTCTTCTGATTCAACACACACATTTTCGAAAAACGAAGAACAATCAGAATTCGAAAAACCAAATCTCAGTTTCAAATTCGCCGAAATTATGAATTCTCAGTTCAAATTTCGAAATCGACGATGATTAGAGCTGTTTTTTCTTTGCATGATTCACCCAGAAGAAGCGATTATTTCAAATTTCGGTTCAGAGAAATTTTGAAATTCGAAATTTAGGAACAGAGAAAACTGAATCTGATGAATGTTATCATGCAAGTGTAAACAAAGAAGACGAAGGAGAAAATCAACGCTTACAGTGGAATTACTCGATCTGATGGAGAGGATCTGTTGAGAAACGATATCGCGAGAATCAACGACTCTGTTTTCTTCTCCAGCAGTGTAAACGTTTCTTCGAAGCTCAGTTTCTGGGAACGAGAATTCGAATTTCTGGAGAGAATAATCGAAGAACGAAGTGGAAAATCGAGAGATCAAACAAACAAGTGCGATCGATCCGATACAAATCGACATGAAACCGAATCTCGTGAATCCGTACTGAAACTTATCCATCTTCGTTCGTCTGCAGAGAAGAGGAGGAATAATAACACTCCGTTTGATTTTGCCGAGAAAATACTTTCCCGGGAAAATT